CCCCCCCCCGCGGTTGTTTCCCCATTGGTATCACCCTAAGGCGATTATTCACAGCTCACCCATATTCCTCGCCTTGTGAGCTTCTGCCTCTGAATGAATGGATTTCTGGAACATGGGGTTTGTTCAAGGGGGGGCTTCGAACTGTCTGGTGCTGTATTATGAAGGAAAAAAAAGACAGAACATGGAGCTGCCCCCCACCATCTGATTAGCTGAGCCAAGGCGACATGCTCACTGCAGTGGCACAGTCTGAGGCTTGGAAGAGTGGATGGAGCTGTAAGGTGTATTTGAGAGTTGCTCTTGAAGAGCAAGCTGGGGGCTCATGGGGCAGCTCCGAACTCAGCTCAAGATCAGTGTGGGAGCAGTGAGAAGTTTCAAATCATAACCACCTGTGGTGTGCAAGGAAGAAGCTGGTCAAGGCTGCACTATAGGTGGCAGTGCACCCTATGGGCATCTTGTGATTCAACCAACACCCATAATACATCTAAAAAAATGGTTATTGCAACAACCCCAACAACCCGTTCACTCATAAAAGACAGACATGCACTCTTTGGACAAGCTGATTCATGTATTGAATAATCCCGGATGGTCCTCAAAGGAAACAGCGCTCCGACTTTAGTTGTAATCTGAATATAACTCAGAGGATTTCACTTTTTGTACCTAGGACCTTAGTTCTATTGTATTTGGATCTTTTCAGTAGATCTGAAAGGATTGAGATCTCTCAGGCTGATAGTGTAGCCAATCAAATGTCACAAATGTAACTTGCTCCCAATTTAGAGCTGGCAATACTCGGGGTACAAAGCTTGATTGAAGATAAATCTTAGTAGCTCAGAGACTTAAATAGTGGGCCGGTGAGTCATGGAAAATAATATCACCCTGAGTAATGATCACACGTGGAAGAAGGATTGACCAAACAGTGTGTACTGTTTCGAATATATTGTACTCACAGGTGCTTGATTGCTTCACCGGGCAGTCCGTTTAAAGAGGTATAGAATGTCTCTATATGACGCTACTCCTGGCAGTCCTCTTTAATATTGGTTATATAGTCCACTTAGAGAGAAAATCAAGGGTTCTTGGATAGTTTCCTGATGTATGAAATGATGTTAGAAGGTCCCAAATGGTTTTGGTTTTATCAATGAGGAAATCCTTATGTCGCACTGTTTTTTAATCCAAAACTGGGAAGTTAGAAACCTGACATGCAGGTGGTCAGTCAGCTTAGCGTCCACTACCAGATGACGCGTTTCGCCCCTCCTTTGTTCTCAGGGCTTCGTCAGATCCTGGCGGGGGACAGGCTCACAGGGTTTTTATTCTTCTACTCATGTGTTACTGTTAACCCCTTGAGTGCAAAGATAAGGTGAGCATGGGCGTTTAGATTTACATGCAAAAACATCAATACAAAATAAGGGGAATAATAATTTACATGATTGTAACTGGCCTAGAGACTAAGATATAGTGGAAGCTATCTAGTTAAGGATCAGTGCCTATTATAGAGGATAATATCACCCATGAACATTATGTTTTTTGTAAAAGATCAAATGACAGGTTAATACGACCTCAAGGGTGGGATATAGATGTCGAGTATGAGCAAAATAGGGATTGTTCAATGTTTAATGTTTGGACAGGGAGATATTAGAAATTACTTATAGGTACCATCTGACCTTAGTCTGCGAGGAATTAAACTTCAAGTTATACAAAGTGGGAGAATGGGTATTTAAAGAGATCTCACTCTTGTGTAGGACAGAATAGCATAAACAGGAATTTACAATGAGAGCCACACAAAGCATAGGTGGATATTTGGGAACCACAAGGATAAGGGCTAGAGGAATACCTGTAAATTGCATTCGTTGTTCAGTCCATGTGGAACCATGGTGTTCAACTTGAAAATCCAAATTTTCTCTTTTTGGAGTAAGACCGTATTGAAGTCTCCCCTACGTGCTGATAATTTAAGTGCATAGATTCTCTTAATCCTTATCCCTGTGGTTCGTCCTCCATGATGCTTCAAAAAGTGTTGCGCTAATGGGCTCTCTTTGTCATGATTTTTTTATGTCTCCCTTAATCATAAAACCTATGACGTCCCCAAGCAATACAACTGAGGGGTGGAAAAACAGCAAACACCACTAAAAGGCCCGCAAGAACCAACAAGGAAACCAACCACAAACTCAAAGAGCAGCCTGAAGCACCTTCTGACCAAAGCTGGCATCAGCAGAGGACTGAACATTCATCTAGTAAAACTTCACAAAAGTATAAATGGAGGACCAGGTGGCGGAGTTGCAAATCTGAGAAATAGGCCCTGATGCTGAAAGGCCCAAGAGGCACTATGGGACCTAGTCGAGTGAGCCTTACCTAAAAAATGGAGGAACCCTGTCAACCTTTTAAGGCATTAGCTTTAGTGATGACTTGCCAAATCCACCAAGCAATCATGGAATGGGAGCCCTCAGACAGGACAAAGATTATACTAATGGCGAAGGCAGTGGCTGAGAGGAATACATGCACTGCCCTCATGACATCCAAACAGTGCAGGGAAACCACTCTTGAATGCTTTTGAGCAGGACAAAAAAGAAGGCAAGACAATGTACTGATTAAGGTGGAAGGAAGAAACAGCCTTGGGGAGAATGGTGGCCTGAGGCCAAAGAAGCACCTCATGTCTATGAAGAATCAGAAAGGATTACCTTATGAGTAAGGTCCATCAAGGGAATATCCATAATGGGCTTAAAAGAAGGCAGCTGGGGAGCTGACGAGACCAGATTAGGATTACACTGTGATCCTAAGGGTTTTTAACCCTTGAGGGTGCTTGAGGCTAAGTGTTGGTCCAGACCAGATTGGAGAAATGGCAGGATACGTCCCATGGAATACCGTCTAGGATAGAACCCTTGTTTCTTGCGCCAGTCAAATTAGACCTTTAAGTGTGATGATAGACTTTCTTAGAAGTCAAGTTCCTAGCATTTAGAAACATAAGAATAACAGAGTGAGACAGACCCTGCTTCCTCAGGACCTAGGCTTCAACAGCCAAGCTGTCAAAGCCCCAGTGACCAAGAAGTAGGATGGTATACTGTCCCCTGAGATAACAGGTTGGACAAGGAAAAGCCCACCGAGAATTTCCCAAGAGTCAGAGATGTCTGAGTATCATCTCATTCTTGCATAGCAGTCGAGGGAGAACCTAAACACAAGGGAAGGAATGTAGCAGCTGAAATT